CCGATCTTAAGCAACCAACCTATCCCAAACGCAACCATGACAATCCAACTGGTTTTTGTTTATTTTTTGTTTATTTTTTAGAAAAACATAAACTACAAACGCGTTTGGTTTAGAAAAAATGTTTAAAAAATTTTAAAAACATAAAAAGAGTGAGAAATGACAAGTGGTGGGAAGTGGTGGGTGGTGACGAGTGGTGGCGGCGGAAGGAGGTGGTGGAAAATGGTGGCGGGTGGTGGTGGCGGAAGACAGTGGTGGAAAATGGTGGCGGGTGGTGGCTAGTGTTGGGTGGTAAAAAAAAAAAAACTCAAAACTCAAAACGGAAACATATTTTTTGAGTTTACATTTTTTGGCCAAATTTATAAACTGAGACTACGGATTTATAAATAAAAAATTTACCAAACAAGTTTTTATTTGAATTTTTTAAATATTTGTAAATATAAACAGAAAACTGAAAACATAAGTGTCACCAAACGGCACCTAAGTTAATCTAATTAAATCGTTCCAAATCGAATTTTGATTAAACCTACCATAAGATTCTAAAAATTCCAATTAACACGGAAATCAAGTCAATTTCTAAATCAGATGCCGATAAGACCTTCAATTTGCAGACTGAAATAAAAGCATGAACAGGTCTTCTTACGTTAAACAGATCTAAATACAAAATAATGCAATGCACATGTAATTAAATCATGACTTCTTGTGAATTACTTGTTAGGCATATTTAAATATGAATTAACGCCAATCATGTGTCAGGGTTGTTACATGCAGGTAATCCGCATCTTCATAGACATGTCTATTTCATCGATGAGTTATTAGGATCTAAGGTGAATTTTTTAAATTGGACCCTTCATACATCATTACCAAAAAAAAAATAAATTTATTTGGATAAAACAAAAAGGATAAAAGTTTATTTCTATTGCATTACAATTTAACAAAATTTAGATAACAATATATATATATATATAGTTGAACTTCAATTAGTTGAATCGAATCTTTATTTTTTAACTTACCAATGCTATAAGAACTAAAGTTAATTGGGGTAAGGATGAGAATTTTTGGCACAACTTAAGCAATATATAAAATTAGCAAGTTAGGGTTGACTATTTTTCAATATGAATCCAAATATGACATGACTCAATAACATAAATTATTAGTTATATATTTTAATGTTCACTAAGTGATGCCATGACATTTTTTTAATCTTTTATTTAAGTCCATCTAAACAAATAAAAAAGTATGTAAAATAATAATTAGGACTAATATCTTTTTTTCATTTAAGATATGTATTTTTTTGTTACCTATTTTAGAGTCAACCTAGTAAAAAATATATAGTAATAATAAGGTACAATTTTTTAAATTAGAAAAATGCAATTGAATTAAAATCAAACCTTCTATGAATAATTTCATTTCGTAGAAATAAATTTTATAAAATTCAACTTATTGGAAAAATTTTAATCTCTCCATACACTTGTTAAGTTATTTTTAATTAAAAGTAAAAATTTTCATATTAAATATCAATCGGACACGAATCAAAATAACACCATATGATAACATGAAAATAAATTAATTGAGCTAACATTGAAGTAATTGTAAAATAATACGACATGATACATTCTCCTAATTAAGAGTCTTAAATTTTATTCAAAATTGAAAGTCCAAAGCGACCACCTTAGCCGCCTCACCTCAGGACCCACCCTGAGTCTTAGTTAAAATAATACGGTATCCCTCGAATGGTAAATTGAACATAGAATTATTTCAAATGTAAGCAATAGAGTAGTCCCTTTTTTTTTTTTTGGAAGGTGCAGTAAAAATTATACTTAAACTCTTTCAAATTTTCATCCCAACCATCTATACATGTGTTTGAATCTCAGATTGTCAAAAACAAAATTATCATATTCAATGTTTATGGGTAACCAAAAAAATAAATATTTTTTTTCCTAATCCAACTAAATAAATCCAAGCAAGATTCAAACATAGCATTAATTTACCTTCAAAAAAGTAGAAGAGAGAGAGAGATAAAAGAAAAATAATTATTGAATAGTAAAAAATAATGTTTACTTACTACCATTGCCACATTCATAAGAGAACATGATGTGCAAAAGTAGTATAAAGTGGTTTGTTTATTATTAAATTCTCTCTCAGTTGAGAGTTTGTACTAGTTAAGGACATCTGATATGAGAGCTCAAATCTAATGAGCCTTAAGACTTATGTACGCTGAGTGTGGATGGCTTACTCTCTCAACCACGAACTGATGAGTCCATAATATGATGCTCTTCAAGCTGACTCCCGCTGTCTGGTGTTCCAATCCCTTCATTATGTGGCCCTACCCCTATATATTGTTGTACCACCAACACAGATATTGTTGCTGCAAAATCTGCTGATCCCAACAAATCGCCAATTACTCCAAGCTCAGGGCACTCACTCCACTCATCAAGCCCTGTTGTGAGTGTCGATGTTGTTCCTTCTCTTCTACCAACTATGACGAGGTCATGCATATTTTCCATTGACCTTATGGCCGTCATGGTCTCCTCCCCGTTATTCACAACTTTTTCTGTGTAAGAGAATGACTCATCATTTGCCTTCATCATCCTGAATTCTTTTATATAGTCATCATCTAGCTGTTCATCTTTTTCTCTGTCTACTTGTAGTGTCAGTAACCTATGATCCTTAAGATTATCATAGTTTGGGTCCATTATTGGATCAATTGCTTCGGGTCCTGAAAGGAAACGAATAACACTAAGGCTATTCCCAGGATGTTCAGACATTCTCATTGCATACGATAGTGCCTCTCTGTCATCTGGTCCACCAAAGAATAGCACAACAATGTTGTGAGATACTTGGCTGGCAGCCAAGCGTGTGGAGCCACTTAGGCCCCTATCAATTAGAATGCCAATTGAACATGGAGCATTTGCTAGTAGATTTTGATTCATCATTCGAAATTTTGGGTTGGCATCTTCCATCCCACCGTCAACCATTTGTTGTTTGTGAAAAGGAATTATAATGAAGGCAGCACGTTTTTCCTCTGCCAAGTTGCAAATTTCTCCATGCATTGTTGAGTAAGGGGAAATGGCTGTGAAGGATTGCACAATGACAGTACTGGTATGCTGCCCGAAGGTCTCAAATGCATTGATAATATTGTCAGATTGAGCTTGCATTCTATTGATGGCTGCACTTTCATGATTTTGAGAGTTGTGGTCGATAAGGGTAGCAGATGCATGACCAATAAGTTCAACTAGATGTAGTGAAAAAATAGATATCGGAGATTTTTTGGTAGGATGGGAAGCTTCAAGAAGATTGATGATTGTTGGAACATTTCGAGGGGTATGGATGCATACTAGTATTCGTAACTCGGAATCTGTTTTTGTCTTTTGAATTGTTCTTCTTTTGTAGGGTATAAATTTCCTTGCTGGCCTATAAATTTTTACTAGAATGGGTGTGATGATTGCATTAATAAATATTACTGTGATCACCATGATTGCATATGTTGTATCATCAATAACCTACACAAACATTGATTTCTATAAATTTATGTCCAATACACAAATAAGTGACTACGTGCAAGCATACATGAAGAAAGAAAAAAAGAAAAGAAAAAAAGAGACTATACCTTTTGATCTTTCCCAAGATTGAGGGCAATCAATCCAATGAGTCCTTTTGTATTCATGAGCAAACCGAGCGCAATTCCTTCACGAAATGGCACATTGTAAAAGAGGGCAACAAGGATAGTTCCAACAGTTTTGCCAATAGAGGAGAGAATAATGGACAACATTAGCATAAACCAGGTGGAGGCTCCTTGGATTTTTAAAAGATTAGTCTTAAGCCCACTAGTGACAAAGAAGAGAGGAAGTAGAAAACCAATAACGAAGTCTTCAAGATTTTCTACAAGGGTAACTGCAAGAGGCCCATTTGGAATTACCAAGCCGAAAAAAAAAGCTCCAAAGATAGGATGCACTCCAATGGCATCTGAGATGACACTAGAGAACATAACTCCAGCAATAATAATGGATGTAGTGAGGTCACTGAAGTTTTCTTCCTCTAGGGTTCGCCTTATGAGCCATGCAATTGTTGGTCGGACAACCAAAATGCAAAAAACTACAAAAATTATGCTAGATAGGATTATCCATAAGGAAGTTATGAAAGCAGTTTCTGTCGACTCTGCCAAAGAAATGGTGTACACTAAGAGAGTCACCCCGAAAATTTCATTAATGAGGGCAACTGACTTGGCTAGCTTGCTAATCTCCATGTCGACAAGTCTAAGCTCTCCGAGGTTTCGTGCAAGTACATGGAATGCCGTGATAGAGAGAGAAATGGCGAAAAAGATCATGAATGTGCCTTCCTGCATGGTTGTTTTCTTTTGTAGGTTAAATGAGAAGGCACAAGCTATGAGGAAGGGCAAAAACATACCAACAATGGCGAAGACCAAGGCCTTTTTTCCATATTTTCGGATGACTGAGAGGTCCATCTCTAGTCCAATTATGAAGACAAAGTAAATGGCACCCATGTTAGCTATTGTCTCAAGCAATAGCAAACTAGTTTTGCTAAATAGAAAAGGACTGAACCCTTCAATTTTTAAATGTCCCAATGCTGATGGACCCAAAATTATACCTGCCTATAACCATTAAGCAGTACAAAGATGAAGATATATTAGCATTTGGAAGTATCAAAGTCAATGCATGGGGAAGTATGTATGTAATCTTCTGCTTTAGTCTGGGCAGGTTAAGCCACCAAAGCCTTTACTTTAGTCCCCTAATATTTTAAAGCCTCAAAATTTTTAGAATTTTTTTGATTTGAAATTTTTTTTTTTTTTAACTTAGAAGCTATAGTTAAGGTTTCAGGCCAAATCTAGATTTAAAATTAAAAACAAAGCCAAAAATCAGTTACACTTGTTAATTTCAAAATTATGCACTGGATATACAACTGCTAAATTACTTTTGCCAATATAAAGATAAGAGCATTGGTATTGAAATTCAAAAAATTAGATTTATTTTTCAAGTCTAATGACGTGACAATTAATTAAGATATATAAGACAACACTATCTCTTATATTTTCCATAATCATTAACAAATTATATTACTTAAACATTATTGAGTCTAGAAAATAAGCCTATAAAGTGAACTTGTATATCATTTCTTAAGAGTAATGATAAAAAAAGGCCCAATCAATTGTGATATTCACTTTTACCAACATGTACACTTTTAAAAGGAAACTTTGAAGTTAGAAAACACATAATACTCTTTTTGTTAAGCAAAAGAATTAAACCTCAAATCATTGTCAAAATTTTATAATTATCAAATAACTAAACTTATATTGATGTAATTTTTCTATATTATTTATACAATTTTATGCCCGTCTTATATAAAAGTATAAAAAGATTTGCTTATGACAATTTCAAAATTAAAATTGATAACATCTTGTCTAAAATTGACTCTGTCACAAGAAAGTTTAAGTAGATTAATTATATTATCACGTGAAACTAATATATTAACAAATTTTTTTTTTTTTGATCAGTAAAGAAAAATTTCATTAACAATATGAAATTAAAGGTATACAGGAAGATGACATGCATCGAGAGAGATTCGGAAAGTATAAATTACCCCTACTACTGCTATTCGCATCCATACAACCAACCCCTTAGCCTCACGAATTTTTTTTAAAAAAAAAAAAAAAAGGTTAAGAAGGACTGAATGTACCATTTAATTGTTAGTAATTCTGAATCTGAAAGAGAGAGAAAAATAAAATTTAAATACAAAATTACAACAATATTTAAAAATGTAAAAGCCTTACTTAACTTTGTTGCTTTAGGCCTCAAATTTTGTTGAGCCAAACATAGTTTCAAATAATAGACGGTTAGAAGTATTACAATTTATTTTTTTAATTTTTTTTTCATGTTTGGTTTTATAAAAAAAAAGGGTTTTTTTTTTTATTTTTTTATTTTTTATATAAAGAAAGCCACACAATTAACATACACGTGTTGCATTAGGCATGTGTACAATATGAATATATATGTCGTCAATATATTTTAAGAAATATAATGATTTACATATAGATAGGCTCATAGAACACAATTGATTAATATAATGCAAATGTTTTGTATGAGGTATGTGTTTAACCCCTGTACCATGAGTATATTACTGATGTAATGTGTTTTAATTTAGAGACATGCATTAATTTGTTTGGCATCACAATCACAATGGAAAACATGCATGGATGCGATGTACTTACAATAAACTCGCAGAAAACTCGAGGTTGGTGCAGAGGTTTAAGGATAAACATGAGTAGCCGTGTGATAAGAACGATCAATAAGACTTGAAAGAGGAAGAGAGGCAGAGAATAGTTCAATGGATTCTCATTCATCCATATCCCGTTTGTTGTAACCATGTTCGACGGATAACATACTGTTTCATTTGCTAGCATCCCCGGTGCTGACAAGATTGGCGGCATCTCTGGCTTCCCCATTATTAATATATATATATAACTTGATCTTCTTCCAACTACCACCACCACCACCTCTTTAACCTTGATTTTGTAAATAATTTGGTGCTCATTCCATCACCTTCACCTTCTGTATTAACGAAATTAACAAGAGAGATCGAGACTAAAGGCAAAAAAAGAAGAACAAGAAGAAACGAGTCTTTGTTCCTATTTTTTGAACAATGTGAATGAAAAGAAAAATACAGCTAAATTTTGCTATTTTGGTTGTGTCTGGCCCTATTTTGGTTCATCATTGTGCTCACAAGCTAGCTTAATTTAAGTTAGGCCTCCTTTGGGAACTCTCCTTTGTAGCAAAAAAGTCAAAAAGTTACTAAATTAGTCAAAAAGTTAACAATCCATACCAAAAAGTTAAAGATTGTTTTTTCTCTCTACTTTTTGCACATCTTTTCGTAAAAAGCCAAAAAGTCATCCCAAACATACTAGTTTTTTTTAGCTCATATTTTAGTCAAATAGCCAAAAAGTTACTAAATTAGCCTGTTCCCAAACGAGACCTTAGTCTTTAACATTTGAAAGTCAAATCCTAAATTTTATTGCTTATTTATTCATTATTAGTGTCATTGTTATATAATTAATTATTTTTATTATTTTATTAAAATTAAAATTATTTTTATTATTTTATTAAAAACAAGGGTATTCTTGTAATTGTAATGTTTACATCTTATAAAGTCAATAAAAAGACTAAAAGTCAAAAGTTAAAAAGTCAAAAAGTGACTGTTTGGTAAGTGATTGTTTTAGCTTAAAAGTCAAAAAGTCAAAAAATCATGCCAAACATACTAATTTTTTAATCTCATATTTTAGTAAAAAAATCAAAAAATTATTAAAATAGCATGTTCCTAACTAAAATAAGTCATGTTGCTTGTTGTTGGAATGCAAGTTGAATGCAAAAAATAGTCTTAAACATGCACTACCAGTCATTTGAGTGGTCAGATCGGCTGTGGACGATTAACTCTCTGCCTCTCACATTTCCTCTCATTTTTTAATGATCCGATTCATGGGCTTGTCAACCATCTTTGGATTAATGATGAATAACAATAAATTTGAAGCGCAGGTTTTTCAAATCTAACATCCTAACATGCATTAACTCCATTTTTAAGGCCAAAGAAACATAAATATTCATTACATGAATTTACCAAATAGAAGCCCTAACATTTCATCCGTACAATAAGTACAGAAGAAATACTACCTCGGTTATTTTGATGATCGGCAAAGAAGATCTTTATTGATGAAAATATGCAAAAAGATATAAAACATCAATAAAGAGGAGCTTGGAGCTAAATGGCTCCAAGCTCCAGTTGGTGAGAAACCAACAAAGAGACAAGAAAAAAAAATCAAAACAGATCAGCAGCCACTGAACCACAACACAGCACAAACTCAGCGGATCAGAGTCCTTACATAGCAGACCAAACCAACCCAGAAACCAACATCCAGCAACTGATGAGACCAACAGTTGACTCAACTCCTTAGCCTATCAACTGACCAACTGTGGAGGAGCTGATGCATCAGTGATCACAGCAGCAAGATGCAAATTAACAATAGAATCAGACCTAAACATAGCCAGAACAGAGCACCAAGGAAGAACAGACTAATGCAGCAGACAGCAGAGCCAGACTGATAGCCGAACTGCCTTCCAGCAGGTAGAATAGACTAAAATAGCAGCAAGGAAGATCAATCTGAGCCCCTGATCTGCTTCCACTTGAAGACTATATCATCCATTGAGAAGGGGAAATCCTTTACTGATGCTTTGAGCCAGAGGGCAGATCTAAATTTGATGAGATCCAGCAGACCAAAAAAATTGGGCTGAGCCTTAGAAAAGACACAGTCATTCCTATGCTTCCAAATAGACCACAATATGACTAAGGGAAGGGCTCTCCAAATTATTCTAACATACTTCTGAAATTTTTCACTCATCCACCAATGAAATAAACCAGCTACTGAATTTGAAATGCACCATTGAAGCCCCCATTCTTTAAGCACTGAAGACCAAATCAGCCAAGAGAAAGGACAATGAAGCAAGACATGGATATTAGTTTCAGGTTCCGAGTTACAAAATGGACAGAGAATCGAAGTACTGCTATCAAGTATGCCAATCTTGTGCAAGAACTCTGAAGATTTTACTTTATTTTTCCAGGCCAGCCAGCAAAAGAAGGAGACTTTTGGGGGCAACAAAGAGCTCCAAACCTGTTTGCAAATTCTTAGATTAGGGCCAAGGAGGGAAGAGCTGTAAGCATATAGGTCAGATACAGAGAACTGATTATGGGCTGCAGCATCATAAGACCATATAAGGTAATCTGCATTTTCATTACATAAAGGAGGAGCATAGGATAAAACTGCAATCAAATTGGCTTCTTCAATCAATTCCCAATCATACAATTCTCTTCTATACGGAAAGTTCCAGGCACATGAGCTGGTTTTCTTGGCAAAGAAGTGGTGGAGAGAGCCTTCTTTATCAGTTGAGAGGTTAAAGAGAAGTGGAAAATCAGATTTCAGGCAAGTAACACCACACCATCTATCAGTCCAAAACTTAATTCTATTCCCATTCCCTACTTTAATTAGACAATTGGCCAAGAAGAAATTAAAGATGGAGTTGCTGGAGGCCCTAATGGATAAGATGTCACTCCATATTCTAGAGTGCTTATAAGAGGGCCTTACAGGAGGATGCCAACAGTCCTCGATAATCTTGTATTTGCTGCAAATTACTCTCCTCCAAAGAGCATTGATTTGGGTCCCAAATTTCCACCACCATTTAAGTAGTAAAAAAGAATTTATATCTCTGATTCTTCTGATGCCCAGACCCCCTTGGTCAATACTTTTTGTAGCCTCCACCCACTTCACTAAATGAACTTTCCTTTTTAGATTATTGCCACCCCACAAGAATGCAGCCTCAATCTTTTCCAGCTCTCTAGCCACACCTTCAGGCATTTTAAACAGGGAAAGGAAGTAGATAGGTAAGCTTGAAAGTGTAGACTTCATCAAGGTTAGTCTGCCTGCAAATGATAATAACTTTCTCTTCCACCCTGACAGTTTAGATTTGATGTTATCAAGAACAGGCTTCCATGTAGATTTCCTACCGGGATTGGCTCCTAATGGTAGTCCCAGGAATTTTAAAGGGAGGCTCTGCACCTTGCAGTTGAGAAGATTAGCAAAGGAAAGCATAAGATCATCAGTTACACCAATACCACACACAACACTCTTATGATAGTTGATTTTGAGACCGAATAAAACTTCAAAACATCTGAGAATTCTTTTGACTAACACCAATTGATCCCAGTGAGCTTCACAAAAGAGAATTGAATCATCAGCAAATTGCAAATGTGAAACACGAACATTATTAGCTCCAACTAGCACACCTTTAAGGATGCCAAGGTTAAGAGCTCTAGTGAGGAGGATGTTAAGCCCTTCAGCCACTATGTTAAACAAAAAAGGGGAGAGTGGGTCACCCTGCCGAAGACCTCGCTGGGGTGAGAATTCCTCAGTAGGAGATCCATAGTGGCTGAAGGGCTTAATAGAGAAACATTATTCCTCAGTAGGAGAATTCCTCGGTTGAAGCTTTAATAGAGAAACAAGGGTAAGGAAGATAAGATGGGGTGGTGGCCAAGCTTCCTTCCAAGCTTTAAGTCTCCAAAGGTTTGCCTCCAAGTCCAAGACACTCTACAAACAAGCTCCAACAATGGAGAGAGAAAGAGACAAAAGAAGAGAAGAGAAAAGAAGGAGAGAGACATTATATGTATTAGACTCTGTCTTTCACTTTCTGCTATCTAATAGGCATAAGGAGAGTATACAAGACTTACAAGTGAGAACAAATGGTAAATGAGGGAATGAGAGGTGATTTGTGAGTTATGCCAAATGCAAATTTCTCAGAAATTCCTCCAATTTTTGTACTATTTTACAAATTTTGGGATCCAAACACAAATAAATGACACTAATAGCCAGATAATATTACCATATCAAAAAAAATATTTCAACACAAAAACGGTCAACTACTAGGTACTAGAACCCATCCTTCCATCCTAAACTGAAACAGAAAAGTCGTTCACACAAATTGATAAATTAAGTAGCATAGCAATTAACTTGACCAAGCATAATATAGAATTAATTAAATAAACAAGGTCTTAATTGCATTAATTAAAGGTTCAAATTAATCTAGTCCTTACAATGTGGTTTGAAATAGTCTCAGATATATGAGCTTTAAAAATGGATTATTGCGCAAGCAATGTGTTGGAAATTTTGGTAGAAAAGTTTTTTGAGTTTTAGAAGTGGTCAAAGTGCTTCAAAGGCTCCATTTCACCTAAAAACTTATACAATAGGCTCATGAAATAAGAAAGAAGACCATGCCTTATCAAGAGATATTAGCATGCATACAAGACACTAGTCTTTCAATTCATAGACTGAAAGCTAAAGAGTCCATCTTACATGCCATTAAATGAAAGAGTCCACTACTCATCAACATGTGAGTCCAAATTTACTACGATGTCTCAAACACATGAGATATTAAGATTTCATAACATGACTCCAAGACTTGTACAAAATCCTCAAAATACATAGAGATATTAAAATATCACGAAAAGAGGCTTATTAAATTTAAAACAAATAATTTCTCCATTTAAACTTCAAGAAAAAATGTACCATCAAACACATTGGGTGCCCAAGAGGGTGGCATTTCTAAAAGTCCAAGAAGAAGTCTTTGTATGGCACTTGGACCAATAGCTAAACTAGAAGAAAGACAAACTTGAGAAATATTTTGAAGTAGTTTTCAATGGACTGCAGCGAAAGGCCAAGAAAATTACAAACAAAATAAATGGGCATATGGCTTAAGAGGTTTAAGGTTTAAGGGTTTCACTATAAGGTTTAGGGTTTAAGGGTCGTACTACGGTTTAGAGTTTAGAAGGTGTTTTGGGTTTGGGGTTTAAGGGTCTTACTAGAGTTTTGGGTTTAGGTGGTTCAGGGGTTTACTAGAGTTTAAGAAA